CAACAAAAACAAAAAATTTAAAACAAAATTTTTGTATATTTAATAATAAACACAACATTGCAAAAATTTAAATTAAAACTTACACGAACAAATGGTGTTTAATACTTCCTCAAGCAATATATTTCTTTTAAGTATGCCCCAAAATATTAAAATTATAGATTACCTACAATCAGGCGCATGGTTAAATTATATTGTAAATAGCAAATTGAGTGTTGAAATAAGCTAAACTGTTGATATCGGTCGATTTAATAAAGGCGTAATAATAAAAATACATAAGATGTGAGGCAAATCGGAAACTGTAATCTAATATACGTTCTCGCGCAGCTTTGATATAATTTCCATTTAGAAAATAGCAAAATTTTGTCACAAGCTTTGGAGAGTGTCAATAGAATATTCAAGAAATATAAAAGTTTTTGAACTTATTAACTCGACATCCATATATTCTGAAAGTACGGTATCTGAAAGCTTAAAACTTATAAGTCTTGAGCTTTCACTTATGAATTTTAGTATGAAAACTCGCAATATTTTAAAAGTAGGAATATTACAATCCAAATTTGAAATGTATAAAAAGCTTGCTACTTTCAACTCTTGTGAAGCAATCGAAATGCGATTTACTCAAATATACTTTTTTAAAGAATATAATAATCAATATCCAACAATAGTGGGTATAGAATTATTAGAAAACTATTGACATAGTTCCAAATTTCTATAAACTAAATTTACATTATTAAAGCTTTGGTTTTTACTTTGCATATAAATATATAAACTGCACCTAAAATATACTTTGAAAACAGAAAATGGTGATATGCGTCTGTTTCGTCTAGTTATAATAGAATTTTTTACTAAAATTTGATAATTTCGGGTGCTTTTGTGTTTTTTATTAATTAAAAAAAATATTAAAAAAATCTGTCTCTTATACACATCTAGATGTGTATAAGAGACAGATTTAATACTGCACGTGGACGACTTTGCACTGCAGTTTCGCGGCAAAACTTATTTTTATACATTTTCATAATACTGAAAATACGACTAGACATTTATATGTATGTATATATGCTTGTATATTAATTATAACTATATATGTACCAATATATTGTATGTATAAATAATTTCTCTTATATATTTACTTTATTTCATTACCGGGTGGTTAGTGTTTTCACTTCATATCTTTTCAATTACATTATTCTCACATTGAATATTCGTTTTCGTGAATGATCAGTTTTTAAATTTACTTTTGTAGATTTCAATATATTCTATCAAAAATGTTGCAAAATTTTAAAAATACAATAAAATACTTTCGGAAAAAATATAAAATAGCGCTTAGTCCAGTGAAATTTATGATTAGTAGTCGAAAACAAAACAAGTAATTAAAATAAAAATTGAAAAA